AGTTTAATTAGATCCCATTTGTCAATATTGTTAAAATGACCATATCACCCAAAATAATTTATAGATGCAATGCTATTCTCATTAAACTACCACTGACATTTGTCACAGTATTAGGAAAAACTATTTTAAAATTCACATGGAATGGGAAAAAAGCTCAAATAGGCAAGACAATCCTAAGCAAAAAAGAGCAAAGATGGAGGCAACATGCTCTCTGACTTCAAACTATACTACAAAGCTACAGTAACCAGATAGCATGGTACTGGTATAAATAAAACAAACACATAGATTAATGGAACAGAATAGAGAACTCAGAAATAGGACCATACATCTACAACCATCTGATCTTCAACAAACATGACAAAAACAAGCAGTGGGGAAAGATTCCCTATTTCATAAATGGCGCTGAGAGAACTAGGAAGCTATATGCAGGAAATGGAAACTGGACCCCTTCCTAACACCTTACACAAAAAATTAACTCAAGATGAATTAAAGACTTACATGTAAAACCAAAACTATAAAAAAAAAATCCCTAGAAGAAAATCTAGGCAATACCATTTAGGGTATAGACAAAGGCAAAGATTTCATGATGAAAACACCAAAAGAAATTGCAACAAAAGAAAAATTCTTCACAATGGACAGATACCCATGGTCAGAAGCTATTCTGAAGCCTGCAGTGAAAAGGAACAGAAACTAGTTCCTTTGTGTTATAATGTTATTTGACTTCATATTCTTGTGGGAGTAATATTGTGTAATGGTGGAATTCACAGGCTTGGGGGTCAAAGCCATCTACTCTGATCTTCTTTTGGCTGCCAGGCCTTATTTATTGGCTGTCTGACCCACGCAAGTCACTTAGCTAAGGTGCAGTTATTTCAACTGGAAAAAAAACATTAAATGAGAGGTTGTATGTAAAGCATATGAATGTTGTATAACAAACAGAAGCTCTTCTTATTTGTAAAGAATTGTAAAGTGGCTATTAACAATTTCAGTCAAGCTAATTGTCAGCATCACAAGAAAACAACATCACGAAAAGTGTTTATCACTGAAGTCAACCCTATTCAGAGATAAAGGTTTTTTACAGGATAAAAAACTATAGGTAAACTATATTTGTTTTTGGCTGCTCAGCCCTCAAAAACATTTGTATAATACATATTATAGTCTTAATGGTTTTTCCTACTTTTACAAAATGATAACACAGTATATTAAACCCAGAAATGTCTTTACCTCCAGTCTTTAATTAAAACTTAGCATGCCAGGTGCAGTGGGTCACACCTGTGGTCACATCTGCACTCTCAGCTACTAAGGAGGCTGAGGCAAGAGGATCACATGAGCTCAGAAGTTCAAGGTTGCAGTGAGCTATCACCATACTACTGTATCCCATCCTGAGCAACAGAGTCATAAGTTAAGATGCCGTGTGTCTCTTAAAAAACCAAAAATTTTTTAAAGTCAAAAACTTAAAACCTAGCAGAGAAAAATAAAATCATTTATAATGATGTAGTCTAAAAATTACATAATTTTATATTTATCTTAAACCCATCTTTGTCCTTATATCTGTTATCTAAGATTAGCAAATTATATTAAAAGAAGTTATATGCTTCAATAAGAATCATATATTCCACTTACTACTTTGAAGTTTATTATTAAATATCCTGTATTGATATGATTATAAACAAAATAAGCGAACAATATTGTATTAGCATAATGTTTTAAACTTTAATAGAGTCTAATTACAGATGTAGCACATCAGTCATAAGATAAAGGCCTTTGTGGAGGTCCAAATATTTTTCTGATAATTGACATGTACATCTAATATAGTACATCAATGAAATGGCACACAGTGCTTAAATTAGATAATTTGTAGTTTTCAGTCAAATTAAAGATGTTATAAATACATTTTAATTAATATGCTATCTTACAAAAATAAAAATATTAAGCCCATTTTATATTTATTTTGAGACCCAAAACCATAAAACTACTAGAAGAAAATATTGAGAAAATACTTCATGACATTGGTCAAGGCAAAGATTTTATGGGTAAAACTATAAGTACAGGTAACAAAAACAAAAATAGACAGATAGGACTATAACAAACTAAAAAGCTTCTGCATGGCAAAGGAAGAACAATGAATAGAGTAAAGCAAACATTTGTAGAATGGGAGAAAGTGTTTGCAAACCATGCATCTGACAATTTGCAAAGCATACAAGGAACTCAAACAACTCAAAAACAAAACACAACCTAATCAAAAATTGCCAAAGGATCTGAATAGACATCTCTCAAAACAAACAAATGGCCAAGAGGTATATGAAAAAAAAATACTCATCATTATTAATCACCAGGGAAATGCAAATCAAAACTACAGTGAGATATCTTTCACCCCAGTTAGAATTGCTATTATCAAAAGACAAAAAATAGCAAGTACTGGCAAAGTTATGGGAAAAGGGAAACTCTTGGTGAGAATGTAAATTAGTCCATCCATTATAAAAAACAGTATGGAGGTTTCTCAGAAAACTAAAAGTACAACTACCATAGTGATATGGTTTGGCTGTGTCCTTGCCCAAATCTCATCTGGAATTGTAGCCCCCATAATTCCCACATGTTGTGGGAGGGATCCTGTGGGAGATAATTGAATCATGGTGACAGTTTTTCCCCATACTGTTCTCATGGTAGTGAATAAGTCTCTCAAGAGCTGATGGTTTTAAAAGGAGTTTCCCCTTTCTCTGGTCTCTCATTGTCTCTTGCTGCTGCCATATATGAAATGGCTTTTGCCTTCTACCGTGATTGTGAGGCCTCCCCAGCCACATGGAACTGGGAATCTATTAAACTTTTCCTTTATAAATTTTCTTTATAAATTTATCAGCAGCAAGAAAATGGACTAATACACATAGGATACAGCAATCCCACTATATATCCAAAGGAGAGGAAATCAGTGTATCAAAGAGATATCTGCATCCTGTGTTTATTGCAGCACAGTTCACAATAGACAAGGTATGGAGTCAATCTAAATGTCCATCAACAGATGAATGGATAAAGAAATTGTGGTATATGTACACAATGGAATACCATTCAGTCATAAGAAAAATAGAATCATGTCATTTGTTGCAGCAACATAGATGGAACTGAAGGCCATTATCTTATGTGAAATAAGGCAGGCATAGAACGACAAATGTCTCACATTCTCACTCATGTGTGGGAGCTAAAAAATAATTGAAATCACAGAGAGTGGAATTATTGTTATGGTTATTAGAGGGTAGGAAGGATGGGAGGAGAGGATAGGGAGAGGTCAGTTAATGGATACAAAACAGCTAGAGTGGAGGAATAAATTCTAATGTTCTTTAACACTAGAGGTGACTATAACAATAATATTGTGTATGTTCAAAAAGCTAGAAGAGAATTTTGTATGTTCCCAACACAAAGAAATGTTTGAGGTGATGGATATCCTTATTACCATGATCATTACATGTTGTATGTAATGATGTATCAAAATATTACTCTCTACCCTATAAATATGCACCATTAGTACATGTCAACTAATTAAAAGAGAAAAAAGAATCGAAAAGATTTTAGGCTAACATGATGTAAAAGACTGTGCAAGTGGCTCAGTTTTGAAAACTTCAAGCCTAAAAATGCATAATAAAATTTTTTTTTAATTTTTAAAAATGTGTAATAATTTAAATTAACTTTATTGCTTTTTGGAGCTCAGTCTCAGTTCAGATATTAAACAAAGCTCAAGCATAAAGAAATAACATCTGCAACAAGTAAAACTTTTTTTTATTCCTCATAGAAAATGTAATGCCTCAAAAAATTTAAGACCCTAATGATTTGTGCCATAATTTGAGAGTATCTAGCCGACTGGATTTGAAATATCCTAAACCACTTTGTGATTTTATCTGTTTTTGTTTCTAGGGAGTCTGAGGCATGGGGAAAAGAAGGAGGTGGTAGTAATATTTGTACAGGTCAGACTAGGTAAGGAACTCAAGTACAACTGCTCTTCACTTTAACAGACAGTTGAAGGTTAATTGTATACACTGAAAATATTCCTTTCAATCCTGTGCGAATTAGTGTCTTCAACAGCACCAGAGAAAGCAAAATACACTAATTACGTTCCCTTATCTCTGCTTTCCTTTTGTTTTCTTCTTTTACACCCATCTTCTTTCCTTCTACCTTCCTCTCTCTTGATTATGAGCAGAGGAGAAAAAAAGAAATATCCAAGCACTCTAAATCTTGTGTGTGTGTGTGTGTGTGTGTGTGTGTGTGTGTGTGTGTGTGAGACAAAGTCTCCCAGGCTGGAGTTCAGTGGTGCAATCTCGGCTCACTGCAACCTCTGCCTCCCGAGTGCAAGCAATTCCTTTGCTTCATCCTCCTGAGCAGCTGGGATTACAGGCATATGCCACCATGCTCAGCTATTTTTTGTATTTTTCAGTGGAGACAGGGTTTCACCATGTTGGCCAGGATGGTCTCGATCTCCTGACCTCGTGATCCACCCACCTCGGCCTCCCAAAGTGCTGGGATTGCAGGTATGAGCCACTGCATCCAGTCCAAGCACTCTAAGTCTTATTGATGGGTTTTATTGAAAGGGTTTTCACTTTGAAGTTCTTAACCACTTCACATCAAGTTTTAATTTCATCAAAATGTCAGTGTCTTGTGCAAAATGATAGTGTTGAAACAATCCTAGTAGTTTTGCAAGTGAAACAGATAATATGAGTTTCTGTACTCTAAACTGGAGAATTTACACAAGCTATTGATTCCTGGAATGGAAACCCCTGAACTCGTAGTTGAGAATTCATACAGTATAGCAGTGTTTGTCAAGTACAAATGAAATCATCAGTTTCTAGGTATAGTTATTCAGAAAGAACTTTCCAAAAATGATCTTTCAACAAGAGCTATTCTTTTCAGAAATGTATTTAGTCTAAAAAGCACACTTAAAGATGGACGTATTGTTCATTTCAGTTAACATGTGCAATTACAAACTCACTCCACAAGAAATAAGAAACAAAAATAGTGACAATGAACATTGTGGCAGATGGTGTGGAGGATGAGGGACTGTAGAAAATTTGAGAAGACTCCTCTGTCTCCTTGGGAGGTTTTAGAGAGGCATCTATACAGACACCATCCGCAATACATACGTCAACAACGTTAGTGTCTCTTACATCAGCTTTCGTCTTACAACTCAAAGTGGTATAACAACTGCAATAAAATTTTTCCGAAAACTCCTCCAGGTCTTCAAATGTTGGTTTTCCACGTACTGTGAACTTTCCACCTTTCTCAATTTCAATTGCAAAATTATCTGGGTTCAGGTGAAGATAGTCACTTGAATTCCAGTCTTTCCTTACACACACTCCTTGCTCCTGGCAAAGAACCTGGCTACACATTTTGGCTGCTAGTGTGGTGTTGATTATATAAGGATTCAGTATAGTCTCCATGTAAGTGTCTAGGAGCAAGCAAGATTTCTGTAAAATTAAAAGACAGTCAGAATACCAAAGGACAAGTTAGTTCATACGTGAATTAATTTAGTGTAATAAGCAATTTTTTACAGAAGAATGAAAAATCAGATGTGGCAAAAAGCAGAAGATATTTTCTTTCTTTACCTAACCAACAAGATTATTCTGGTTTTTGTAACATTTGTAACTTTCACATGCCATTTTATTCCACTGAATAATTGACCAACTGAGGCTTAATATTCTTTATCCTTGCTCTTCCTCCATAATTCATAAAATAATCAGGGGGATAGAATGCTACAGCTGTTACAGTATGTTAGAGTATGGTCTCTGGGATCCATTTGCCCTGATTGGAGTCCCACTTGCATTAATGACTAGCTGTATGAACTTGGGAATTTCTGAAGCTTTCTAAGTCTTAGTTTCCTACCTGGGTGACTTTGGGCAAACTGATTAACTTGATTATACCTCAGTTTTATCATCTGGAAAAAAAGGATAATTATGATGCCTATCTCATAAAGTTGTTGTGAAAATAGATAAACAAAGAATAATACATATAAATGTGCTTAACACAGGGGCCTACCATATCTGCAGTTGACCCTCAATAAATTATAAATAAATTTAAGAAGCACTACGTTTGTCAGGCATTTATTTTTTCCTGAGACAAGGTCTCACTCTGCTGCCCAGGCTGGAGTACAGTGGCGCAGTCTTAGCTCACTGCACCCTTGATCTCTTGGGTTCAGGAAATCCTCCTGCCTCAGCCTCCTGAGTAACTGGAGCTATAGGCATATGCTACCAGATTTGTCTAATTTTGGGTTTACTTTTTGGTAAAAGTGAAATCTTACTATGTTGCCGAGGCTGAACTTGAACTCTTGGGCTCAAGTGATCCTCCAACCCCATCCTCCCAAACTGTTGGGTTTATAGGCATGATCCATCATGCCTGGCATACTAGACAAGTTTAAACAGCATGGAAAATGATTTATAAATTCCTGGCTTACATAAACTAAACATGTTCCACTAAGTATACTTTATATTAAATGTTAAATATAGTCAAGTTATGGGTGAATAACGACAGCTCTTTTACAAATTTGGCAAAGCATGAGTAATGGCTAACTAAAATGATTCATCTTGAGACTGGTATGTTCTAAACCCTGGACACTTCCCTTTGAGAAATATTGAAGATAATCACTTTTTTTCATAGTCAGCAGTTTCATTGAGTGAGCTGGTTGTGCCAGTCCTTTATTAAACCAAAGGAAGTGGTGGTGGTAGATATGCAGGCATGTGAAGGACTCTTGGCAGCTTCCATCTGAATATATTTCTTTTAATCTTCCTTGAGATGATGTCGTCTATTGTTGGCAGAATAACTGATTACCAAAAATGTCTGTATCCTAATTCCCCGAAACCTGTGACAATGTGAGCTTACATGGCAAAAGAGACTTTGCAGATGTGATTAAGGGAATGGGTCTTGAGAAGGGGAGATTATCCTGAATTATCAAGATGGACTCAATGTAATTGCATGAGTCCTTGAAAGTGTAGAAACTTTTCAAGCTCGGTTGGAAAGATGAAATGAAGGAAGGAGAGATTCAAAGTGTAAGAGAGATTAAACCCACTTTGGCTGACTTTCAAGATAGAAGAAGAGGGCCGTGAGCTATGAAATATATTGGCCTCTAAAAGCTGAAAAGTTGTCAGTAGCCAGTCAGATAATGTGGATCTCATTGTTAAAACCACCAGGAAGTGAATCTGCCAAATGAGCAAGTATCTTTTCCTAGAAAGGACAACCCTGCTGTCACTTTGATTTTAGCCCATTGAAACTCATATGGGACTTTTGGTCTAAGGACTACAAGATGACAGATTTCTTCTATTTTTTTTTTTTTTTTTACCCACTAAGTTTGCTGTAATTTTTATGAAAGCAATAGAAAACTAATCCACCATCCATCTTCTTAACCATCCAATGACTTTAAATGGTGTTTAGAGTGAAATTCAACTTCTTCTCTTGACTTACGCACAGTGTGACATGGTATAACCCTTTCTTCCTCATGTACAACCTTCCCACATCCATTCTACATTAGATATAGCAGCTATTGCCCTAGCACAGCAGAACCACTTCAAACCGCACTTAACTGTTCCCACTGCTTGGAATGCTCTTTCCTCTAATTTTTAACACTGTTGACTTCATCTTGTCATTCAGATGGCAGCTTTAAATTAGATAACACCACCCTTCTTTGATACCTTCCTTGTTAAACTCTCCTCATCTTTGTTTTAATTCTCTGTATAGCACTTACCATATCAAATATGTTTCTTATCTGTGTACTTTTTAAGTACTTATAAATTCTGAGAGTGCATAGACTTTTTCAATATTCTCCAACACTTTGTTCCCAATACAAGGAACATGAGAATTTATAACAAGGTCAAAAAACATTGCAGCTGCTTTCTCAACTCCACAGAGACAAAGATTACACAAAGAAGAGTGAAGGATGAGAATGACTTGAGAATCATTAACCTGCATAATTTGTAGTCTATGGAAATACATTAAAATTGGCTCTTTGATAGGTAAGACTTGGTTCTTATCATTTATTTATATATATATATATATGGTATAAATACTCCTGCCATGGCCAGTTTCAACTTACCGCCCAAACATCACTGAATGCAGATCTGGGAACTGAGTATACCACCGTTATACATTTTGTTAGCGTGGTGTGGAGTAGCACATTACTACATAGTATTTTCATTTATAAAGATAGAAAAGATGTCAATAGTCTCAAGAGCATGGATCATGGTCAAATGAGATAAAATGACTGATATATTAAAATGGGTCACCTGTGTTTTAACATAATTTTTATTGTTAAGTTTTTATCATTTGATTTTTAATAATGGCTGTGATTAACAACTGGTTCACAAAACTCCTGAATATTTAACAATTAGTCTCAGCTGGGACCAGTAGGGCTGGCTCTGTCACACCACTAAATCTAATAAAATGGAATGAAGAGAAATGGCTTACTTGCATTTGTTTTATGTCAATTCCAGTAACTGCGAGTAAACCTGCAATTACTGGTTTCTTAAGTTGTCAGTGAATCAGAGAAAACATGACAAGTAATCCATGACTATTGATTGCAAATGACATGGGAAAAGGTGGAAATAATGACAGATCTATTATTTAAAATGATCAGAAGTTGAGAAAGGTAGCAGAAATATATACAACAAACTCTATAGGGGACAATTTTGGGACAATGCCATTAAGTAGAAAATAGTCATTAAAACTTGAAGGAGCCGGGCGCGGTGGCTCAAGCCTGTAATCCCAGCACTTTGGGAGGCCGAGGTGGGTGGATCACGAGGTCAAGAGATCGAGACCATCCTGGTCAATATGGTGAAACCCCGTCTCTACTAAAAATACAAAAAAAGTAGCTGGGCATGGTGGCACGTGCCTGTAATCCGAGCTACTCAGGAGGTTGAGGCAGGAGAATTGCCTGAACCCAGGAGGCGGAGGTTGCAGTGAGCCGAGATCGCGCCATTGCACCCAGCCTGGGTAACAAGAGCGAAACTCCGTCTCAAAAAAAACAAAAAACAAACAAAAAAAAAACAAAAAAAAAAACAAAAAAAAAAACTTGAAGGAGTGTCTCTGGTATGGATAATGCTGAAGATGATTTAAGAGGCATAGTAGTAGAATGTGAATCTAAGATTCAAGTGCCATTAAAAAACAAGGGTGACAAATAATATGTTATGTCATCCTACTCTTTGAGAAATGCCTGATTCACTCCTCAGGGTAAGAGTGGAGTTTTCAGTTTATTTTTAAAGAAAATAAAATAGTATGAAAATTTTTAAATATTTATAAGTTTCTAAATAATAGGTTATTTTAGAAGGGAGTTTACAGATTTGGGAAAACCATAAAAATTAAGAATTTACTTAAGAAATTATCATTTTACAATGATTTTCCTACACATAAACGACTTTACCAAGGGCCATATACCTTTCTCTGAACTTATATTTTCTGTTATTTCTTTATATTAAAGATCAAATTAGAGCCAAAAGAATTACGCAAAATAGGCAAAACGGCTCAGATTACCTTTTTAAAATCTCATAAATGTAACTGCTGTTAAGTATTTTTAAATAAAGGCTATGTCTATTCTATCCAGAGAACAAGAGATGAATATAATTCTTCTCAAGGATTTCTTGAACCACTAGAGTGTAGACTATTTGCTAAGGTCCTAAGATAGGACTCCTGGGCCATGAGCTTCATCTGACATTCTTCATGGTACGTTCATCACTGGTATTTCCACATCCACCAGAGAAGAAAAAATTCAGCTCCAACTCAGCAATGTCCCTATGACGGCTTTACTCTTGAATTAAGTCAAGAACGTTGATGAGTTGGGAGATAAAGATCTGATATAGAGAATTAAACAAGAATGAAATAAAGGAACAAAAACCTATCTTCTGACACCAAGCACCATGTCAGAAAATTGAGATTGTAGTCTTGTTTTTGCTACTTAACAGTCATGTAGCCTCAAGAAATTCAATTATTCACTAAATTTCTATTTTCCCACTGGAACATAGGCATACTATTTTCTGCCTTATAACCATCACACGAGTGTATTTTGATTCAACCAGTATTAATTGAGCACCTATTATTATATGCCAAGCACAGTACTACTTGTTTTCTTATTTAATAACAAAACAATCCCCCAAAACAGTAAATGCAGAAATATTTTCATCTATTTACTACCAATTCAACTTACCATACTTCTCATTATACTGAGGCTTCCCCATATTACAATTCCAGAAGCACCCAGAGCAACACTTTCACCAAGTGTATATATCAGTTCATCCTGAAAAATGTGATCGGAAGAGTTAGCACATAAAAAATAAAATGAAAGTGCTATACACAGGACAGTAACACCAAAGCCAAGCATGCTGACCCAATAATAATTATTTAAATATTTTCCAACTATTTCTATCTCTTACACAGCCATTGCCTTACTATAGAACAAATAAGATACTATTATTCTTTCAATCACTTCTATTGAAAAGAGAACAGGCCTAAAAAAGAAAAGAAACTGAGTTCATACACTGTTGTGTTTTTTGTTTTTTGTTTTTTGTTTTTTGTTTTTTTTTGAGACGGAGTTTCGCTCTTGTTACCCAGGCTGGAGTGCAATGGCGCAATCTCGGCTCACCGCAACCTCTGCCTCCTGGGTTCAGGCAATTCTCCCGCCTCAGCCTCCTCAGTAGCTGGGATTACAGGTACACGCCACCACGCCCAGCTAATTTTTTTCATACACTGTCTATACTACCTAATTCCCCCTGCTTGCTAAGTGATAATGAGATTACATTAAATATTAGATGTATTCTTATTTTGCATTCATATAATAATGTAGAACTATTTGTGTGCACATTCCTAGCTAATATTAAAAGCTAGACTTCACTCCCTTCAAAAAAAAATTAAATTTCAATAAACATCTTTTGTTAATTTTGTTTCATAGCCCTCATGTCTTGATTGCTTACCTTAGAAAGGAATTTCAAAACTTGATCAGTAAAAACTAGGCGAGCATATACAAAAACTGGAAGTGGATTGTTTGCATTGGGTATTTTAGAAACCCTAATGGCTTCCTGGACTCGATTGCGCACATAGAGCATAGCAGTTACAGCAGTCTGTTGGGTGTTCAAATAAATAGATGGGTAAAGGGCAGTGCTTTCATTCCACAACCAGCTGAGATCATCATTTCTTTTTATTTCTACATCGAAGCAACTTCCATTGTAACCAGGTTTCTTATAGTGATGGTTGTAACAGTCCGGGAAAAGATAATAACCCCACAAGTGATTTGGCCGAAGTGCTTTTCCCAGTTTTATAGTCTCTAGCATGAAATCCTTTGCTGCCTTTTCAAATTCTTGTTTTGCCATATCAGTGGCTTGTGTGAGACTAAGTTGTGGGTTTCGTTGCTGAACCATCTCAATAGACTTATTCTTGTAAATATCTTTAGGTTTCCAGTTTCTTACCCAAGTGGGTCTCCATTCTTCCCAGTCAATAACACCCATTCCCAGATTGTCTACTGGCATATAAAAAATAATGTCTTTCCTAGCTTTGTCCAAATGATCTTTTAAGGGTATCTTCTGGGGGATTCCTCCATGCACAATTGCTCCTGTCGTTGGATCTACATAAGGATAGTAGCCAAGTCTATCAACATAAAATATTGTAACACCTTGCCCGGTGACGTTTATTCGGGGGCTTCCTATTAAAGAGAAGAGGCTCATATCTAGTGGCTCATCAAATTTTCCAAGGCAAAATTCAGATGGGGCATTCCAGGCCCAGAGAAAAGGCACATTTGGGATAATAGGGGGTGCTCTGAAATTCAGAGTCAAGGAACATGGAATCAGAAGGAAGGTGAAAACTATCTGGGATACTCCACTGGATTTAACAAAGCTTCTGAAAAAGATGTGCTTGAATTTTAGCACTCCCATTGTAGAGTAATGACTATGAAAACATTTATTTCTTCCTATACACTTTAGTTTACCCAATATTTGATGCAAAGTATGAGCACAGATGAAAGAGAATGAAATGAATTCACTTTGATGGGTAAAAAAGTATAATGATTATGTTACATTTAAATATTATTATTCTTGTTTCATATTTTAGGATTGTTTTGCAAGTTGCATCACCTATAACTGAAAAAGAAATACAGAATACATTGTTATCACTCATTTTATAACTTTACCAAGTTCTCAACTTTAAGTTTCAGGGGGTTTAATTTCATTTTAGAAGGTGGAGGGCCTAATCCTGTGTTTAAATCAATGAAATTATTTCCTCTTATCTATGATACAAATGCTATACTAGTTAACATTTTTCTCATCTTCCCAAATCACTACTGGGCCTGCAGAGAGGTGAATGTAGCTATTTTTCATTTTGCCTGTCTGGGTGTACAGAATGCTGTACCAAGCAATGCCTTAGCAAAACCCCAGTGAATGAAGATAAATTCCAAGTTGATCCTCTCATTTTGTTTATTGCTTCTTGAAAGATCACTTTATAGCAGTACACATATACTGAAAACAACCTTTCATAGAATTGTGAAATTTCATCTTTTTTCCTCTTTTTTTTTTCTTTTTTCACTTTTCCTTTCTTTCTTGAAGAGAAGCAAACTTACTTCTGCCAGAAGTAGTAAATCAACAGTTTGCTTGAATTTATTGAATCAACCAAAAACTTCTACCAAATAAGTTGAAAGGCTCCTTGGTACACTACTCAGTCACATATTACAATAATGTGCTCCCATGTTTAAAGTTAATAGAACATTTTACTACTTTACATTTTCTACTGAAAGCATTGGTTCTAGCCTAACTTAAGAAAAGCAATATATAGATTTTGGTCTTTTTATAGGTTTGATAAGTAAGATTGTATTGTCATTCTGATTGTGACAAAGTGAGGTATAATAGCACATACTTTGGCTGTATTAAACCACAAAGGTGGTACAATAAAATGGTCTGGGCAAAAAATTAAGTTAAACTACGTATATACTCAGCATTTTGTATTTGCAAAAATTACCTGCAAGAAGATATTTTTATATGTTCTGTGATTCTAGGATGGAACTGGAAACTTTTTTGAAAATTAGATCAGTAGTATACTGCTACATGAAAGTATAACAAGAATTATACTATTCTTCCCAAGAACATGTGTCCTTACCATAGCAAATTATCCAGTCATTCCCATTGCTGAAAAATAAATTACTCTAAAGAGATCACCATAGTCAGAATAAAATAAAATAAAATCATAATTACCATTATAGTCTCATGTTTTGAAGACAATGAATTTTTTCCCTCATGTTTAGAACATGAAAAATAGCTAAAGATTTTTGTAGTTTAAATACTTATAAACTTCTTTATTCAGGACATAGATAATCTTCATCTAAGGTAATATTGGGGAAAAACTAATTGCTTTTAAATACTGAATATTGATACTAATGCCTGAATGGCAGGGACAGAAAGAAGGAAGTGGAATAAAGGATTAGCTTTCTCTGTATCTCAGGGAAGTAGTAAGCTAGACTTATTGAAATTAACGTTCGACTCTATTTCCACACAATCATTTTATGTAAGAAAAACATGGGGGCTGGGCACAATGGCTTATGCCTGTAATCTCAGCACTTTGGGAGGCCAAGGCAGGCAGAAAACCTGAGGTCAGGAGTTCAAGACTAGCCTGGCCAACATGGTGAAACATCATCTCTACTAAAAATACAAAAATTAGCAGAGCATGGTGGTAGGCTCCTATAATCCTAGCTACTCAGGAGGCTGAGACAGGAGAATCACTCAAACCTGGGAGGCAGATGTTGCAGTGAGCCAAGATAGCACCATGCTCTTCAGCCTGGGTGACAGAACAAGCCTCTGCCTCAAAAAGAAAATGAAGAAAGAAAAACATGGGGCAGAATGAGCCTATTGAGAAGGTCTGTAACCAAAGAAGTCTTCAAAAAAGAATGGATGCTTCTATGCTTGAAATTTTACTCAATGTAATATCTTTTCCTCAGCATAAATCAAAGACTTGGAACAGAGAATTAGGGCAAAATTGTGGCTAGACCTAGAAGTTAACATCAAAAATGACATCTTTTTGTTTGAAGTATCTAATAGAAAACTTTACCTATTTACAGAGAAAACCTGACATTGGCATAGGCAAAGAATTTATGACTAAGACCCCAAAAGGAAATGCAACAAAAACAAAAATGGAACAAACAGGACTTTATTAAACTAAAAAGCTTCTGCACAGCAAAGAGATAATCAACAGACTAAACAGGCAACCTACAGAATGGGACAAAATATTTGCAAATTATGCCTCTGACAAAGGACTAATACTGAGCATCTACAAGGAACTCAAGCAAAATTCAGAAGAAAACTAACAACCCCATTAAAAAGTGGGCAAAGGACATGAATAAACATTTTTCAAAAGAAGACATACAAGAGGCCAACACATATATGAAAAAATGCTCAACATCACTAATCATCAGAGAAATTCAAGTCAAAACTGCAGTGAGATATCATCTTATACCAGTCAGAATGGCTATTATTAAAAAGTCAAAAAAAACGTTGTCATGGATGCAAAGAAAAGGGCATACTTATGCACTTCTGGTGGAAATGTAGATTAGTAAAACCTCTATGGAAAAAACATGGAGATTACTTAAAGGACTAAAAATAGAACTATCAATCATCCCAGCAATGCCACCACTGCCTATCTACTCAAAGGAAAATAAATCATTATACAAAAAGACAGCTTTACTCATATTTTCATTGTAGCACTATTCACAATAGCAAAGTCATGGAATCAACATAAGTGTTCCTCATTAGTGGACTGGATAAAGAAAATCTGGTATATATACACTATGAAATATGATGAAGCCATAAAAAATTTAAAAAATCATGCTCTTTGAAGCAACATGGATAGAGCTGGAGGTCATCATTCTAAGTGAAATAACTCAGACACGGAAAAATACTGCATGTTCTCACTTATAAGTGGGAGCTAAACAATGAGTATTCATAGACATAGAGATGGAAACAAAAGACACTGGGGACTCTGAAAGGGAGGAGGTTGGAAGGGGGATAACAGTTGGGAAATTACCTATTGGGTACATTGGTAACAATCTGGGTGATGGGTATACTTAGAAGCCCAAACCCTACCATTATGCAATATATTCATGTTACACGCTTGAACATGTAACCCTTAATCTAAAATAAAATTAAGTTTAAATGTATTTTAATGAAAAAAACACTATGAAAAAATACATAGATACCCTAACAGAGAACCTCATATCCCTGGAAAATCTTAGCTAATTTAATCCCAGGTAATAAAGCCTGACCTTATTTCTCCACCAGTATTTCTAAGCTCTATACTCAATTTATACCTATTAAAGTTGCATTTTTTAAGTGTCCTCCTTGCTCATTGTGTAGATAATTGCTTCTTAAAGCACTTCTGCTAAGTCTTTGCTATCCCCCAAACCCAAACAATGGTACTTACCCAGAAGCCTGCTTTCAAAGTCCAGCCACCCAATGTGCCTTCAGTAGTATCAAGGCAAGAAGTTGACTGGTTTCAATGTCTTCCTAGAGCATTGGCTAGCCATTAGCAGCCCTTAAAAAAAAAAAAAAAGATGATTTTTTCTCAAAATAGATTTAGATTATTTAATCTTATGATTCTGAATATACCTAAAATTCTACTTAAACTCTTATTCCTGTTGTAAAGGAATTTTATCACTGGAACACATGCTAGCTAAATCCTTTGAACTAGGAATCCCTTGTCTAAGGATAAGTTCAAAATGATTTTGTAATAAAAATTATGTAGCTACGTGTAGATATTCTAGATTCACTACATATTCTAGCATCTTTGAAATGAGAAAAAAATCAGAAACAAGTTCAATAACCAATGATAAGAAATGCTTAAATACTGTATTTCAGCCTGAAAGAATATATGCAGATATCAGAGCTAGTCACAAAGATAATGGTACAACATGTAAATATGTTTGCCTAAAATACTAAGTGAAATAAAGTACAAAAATACACAGTCGAAGTATACAAAAACATGTAACTACATGTTTAAGGAATTTTAAAAAATTTCTAAAATATGGAAGAATATTGGTGTTTTCTGAGTGTCCATTATATATTTATGATCTTCTAATTTTCTTTCATCCAACTATCATATTGTTTCTCAAATAAAAAGTGGAAACAAATAAAATTTTAGTGTTAGAAAATAGTTTGCCAGAACAGATTTGAATCTCAGCTTCCCTTCAGTGAGGAAAGACAAATAACCATAAATCTCTCCACATATTATGTACCAGGTTGCTTGTATAGGAAATTCTTATTCTTCTACAAGGATGAGGAGTTGCTGATTGAGAAACTTTTTTCAAATAAATTTCACTGGTATATTTAAGGTGTACAACATAATGTTATGGCAAGATTAGGATTTTAGAGGTAAGAAGAAGAGGGGGAAAAAAAAGTCAAGTTTCTTGGCTTAATTCTCAGCTCTTCTTTTCCACAACAAACACTTTAATTCCATAACAAAAGCTTTCTCTCTAGAAAATCCTAACAGATATGGAAGTCAGTCAAGATACTTCTTCCTAACAGATATGGAAGTCAGTCAAGATACTTCACAATCTACCTTTGGTGTTCCTGTTTCCTGTGAGTCTATGTATATATTATCTCAATGGAATTAAGAACTGAATTTAGATACAATACTCTTACCATTAAAATTGTTATAGATTTTGACTATAAATTATGATTATAAATATTTAAAAATTCAGAAATGTGGACAAATATTTACAAAAAGCAAGACTATAGCTTTGGTGAAAGCACACCATATCATTACTGAAGGAGGAGGGGACAAAGAGGGTCCCAAATCTAAGTCACTCACAAGGCACCTCCTTAGTCTCCATTTCTCTAAGTCCTCACTCAAAATGACTAAACTTTGTTACAGGACTGAACAAATGGCCCCAAGCCTCATGAAACCTCAAAATACTGAAGAAAATTTTAGTATTCTAAATTACTTCTGTACATACTGTGGGAATCATTCTTTAACATGAAAAATGAAAAGCAAATTTCCACATGAGTGGTAGGTGCCAAGTTGATTGCCCTTGTATCCTCAACACATTTGGTAGGGTGTGTATCATTTCTAAGGTACATAGTTCATAAGTCCAACCCAAAGGCTAATACTCAAGTTACAAGTTACAGTGACTCCAAGCTAAGAACTTTAAAGAAACTTTTAAGAGACCAGCATAATGTTCCCAAAAGCAGAAAACAAGTACATTTTTTCTCTCAAAGCAAAAATATTTACAAGTATTTTCAGAAATGAAAGGAGCTTTTACGTATGATTTTTTTCTAGGGAACTTCTTAAACTATGGTGTTTTATAAATAAATTGACCATAAATAATAGATATCATAAACTTGATTCAACAAGAGAAGTTAATCTCATTTTAGTGGCATTTCATCAACTCTTTTTTCCTTCCCCTTTATTATTACTGTCATAATTATTCCTCTCCTTTGCTTCTTTCTAGCCTCATCTTAACTTTCTCATCGTCACCCTAGATATGTTTTGAACAAACCAGAGATTCTCGAGGCTAAAAAAACTGCTTAAAATGTGGCACATTACAGAACTTCTTATCTTTTTTTTTTTTTTTTACAAAACCATACCTGCTTTTCCCTACTAAGCAATGCAGTAGAAAGAACAAAAGACGACTTACTTTCGAAGTAAAAACTGAACGATTTTTTCTTTAATATGTGAATAGGTCAGAAGTCACTCCAATCTATTAGCTCTGCAGCATTTAACCTGTTGGGTGAGGAAAGACAGCCCTTTGCCCAGTCAATTAAAGAAAGATTTAATCTTTTGAAGTGTTACTGTGTAATATGGTAGGGAAACGTGTGTGTGTGTGTGTGTGTGTGTGTGTGTGTGTGTGTGTGTGTGTGTGTTTGGTGTTTCAATCTCAGCAAATTCAATCTTTGAGACAGAGTCTCACTCTGTCACCAAGGCAGGAACGCAGTGGCACAGTCTTACTCACTGCAACCTCTGCCACCCAGGCTCAAGTGATCCTCCCTCTTCAGCCTCCCAAGTAGCTGGGACTACAGGTGCACACCACCACACCTGGCTAATTTTTTAAATGTTTTGTAAAGATGGGGTTTCATCATGATTTCCAGGGTGGTCTGGAATTCCTGGGCTAAAGTGATCTTACCACCTTGGCCTCCCAAAGTTCTGGGATTACAAGCTTGAGCCATGCACCTGGATTGATGGCTCAGCATTTGGTTAAATTAATAACATATTTTTGTAGTGTAATACAAATGAAGCATATACTTCGTGTAACTGATTTCAATAAAGTATAGCATTTATTATAAAAGAAAAAGTAATTTCTCCTTTAAAAATTGATACAATAAAATTAACATTTGTAAAATTATAAAGCAAGTTTGACATTTATTATGATTGAAAAATACTACTTTTATGAGTTTTGAAAAGAAAATAAATCTTGGGACTGCAAAATCACTGAGGCAAGGGAACAGTCAATCTAGTAACTATATCAGGCAAACCTGCTTCCCATTTTATTCCTAAATAAGCTTGCTACAAAGATACAAAGCTACGTATCTCCCTCACAAGGAAATGCCTCACGGACAAAGGACAGAGGGAACTTGGAGCCATCCCACTGAGGCCCACCTGAGACATACATATCTGATAGCTTCCTCTGCCCTATTATTTATGTAAAAATGCAGATTCACTGAGCCAGACTAAATTGTGTATTCAGTGGAAGGCTGATCAAGGACTCAAAAGAATGAAACTTTTTGTCTCTTATCTACTTACAATCTGGAAGCCCCCCACCTCAAGTTGTCCTGCCCTGCTAAACCAAACCAAGGTACGTCTTACACAGATTGATTGATGCCTCGTGTCTCTCTAAAAGGTATAAAAGCAAGCTGTATTCCAACTAACTTGGGTACATTTATCAGGACCTCCTGAAGCTATGTCACAGGCATGTCCTTCACCTTGGCAAAATAAACTTTCTAAATGTATTAAAACCTTTCTCAGACACCTTTTGGTTACAATTTGGTGACCAATGAAAAAGACTCTGCATGGAGGTGGTCCTGACCTTTGACAAATCTCTTATTGGTGCTTGGTACCAGCTTGAGCTTTTATGGCTCAAACCAACAGGACAATTTACTGAGCCTGGAAGCTTCCTTCCCTCCAGAGAATCCCCAATTGCCCAAAATTTGGTTGCATTCTAAAGTTTATTTTGCTGTACAACTCTTTTTCTGAGTTTTCCTTGCTTACAACAGGAAGACAAGTTTTTCTGCTTTCATGACAATGGAAGACAGGTAACTTTTTCTTGGAGTTTGAGCTCGCTTCCAACAGAGAAGGACAGTTTGAATTTCTTTCTGCTTCTAGAATGGTAGAGAGCAATCTTCAGCCTGAGGCCCACTCCTAGGTAAGTAGCTGAATTGGGGCTTTGTCTTGGATAAAGTTATGATTAACAGCCAGTTGGTCTTAATTCTCCTTACCATTACAATTACTACAGTTAATCTGAACTGGCCTCTCTGTGCTTTTCCACGAGGACCTGAACTGTCATTTTCACAGATAAATGAGAGACTGAGTTTCCTCAGCTCTGAAGAGAAAGGGCATTTTGCTCTTTCAAGTTCCCAGCAAAAAAGCACCCCTGGGTGACCAGGGCCAAGGGGGAGTGTCTGAGAGTTAACCCTCTGTGACATGCAGCAGCCTTATAGGAAACTACCAACATAATTAGTTGAAAAAGGCTCATCAGCATACAGAAGCTGACCGCTTCACGCTATGAGCCCTCCTAGAGATACTAGACCTCTGGTGAGAGAAACTGCAACATTAAGAGGGCAGAAACAACTCTGTGATGTCACACTGTGTAGTTCCACCCACAACCAGCGCACTTGAACTCCCCCATGCTAAACCTTAAGTCACACCTTAGTTCCTCCTTTTAAGAAAATATACGGGAAACAAATCATCTAAGAATGAGGAAAGACAAGAAGAATGATCCCCTCTTAGGCACCCTGTTTGGTTTTATGATCTCTCCACTTGTGAGTGGCTGTGTAAATGGAAGGACATGCCAGGTTTTAGGATCTTTGTGTGTATGAGTGTGTATGTATGTGTTTATGTGTATGTACACTTGATCTGTTATATGTTTTTGGCCTCAAGTTACCAAATTTGGCTTAAAGTTAAGGAGTACTTATAAATGAAACAGTAAGTTCAAATGCTTTTCAAGCTCACATGACTTGAGTAAAATCTTTCATAAGTTAGTTTTTAAATTATTAGTAAAATAATATTAGAAATGTCTTAAAAACTGTCAGTGTATGTTTTTGTTTGCATTTATTGATCAAGAGATTTCATACTTATCCCTATCTCTTTCATAAGGTGTCAAAATTTGGCTTAAGGGTTATTAAACTATAAACTCAGCCCAAAATAGAATGATCTTTGCTTTTATATTTTGATAAGTAACATGCTAATATTGGTTTAATGAAAACAGCTAAATCTTGAATTACTTAGTAAAATAGTCACATGTTTACTCTTAAGGTTCTTACTTAGGTAAACTGAAATTCACAGGTTGTAAAATGATGACAGGGAAATAACCTTAAATGATT